ATTGATAAATGTCATTACGCATTTTTACATTATTTAATTACATTATTTAAAATATTTTGATTAATAAACCTGTAAATAATTCATATAATTAGAGTTCATATATTCATCCGTATCTGTACTTATTATCTGTAATTCAATTGGACAAATTTTGAAGAATCCTGTTGATCCTTTTTATCTTAATGCTTCCGAGATATTATTTCATTGGTAAAACATTCGATATTTTTAAACATTTTATATTTCTTTTTATATTTACAAGTACAAAATAACAAAATTTGAATGCATATTTCTTTTAAATATACTCTGATGTTACGTATATGTAAGCAACTTTTGAAAGTATCGATTTAGCAGAATTGTAACATAATGGTACTGAAGTGTGCTATGTAGAGAAGCAAATATTGTCGAAATAAAAAATATATATTTTTTTAATTACTTTTTTAAATTACTAAAAAACTAGATTAATTAACTATATTTGTGTAATCATCATTACAAATTTCAAATTTATCTCAGTTTTTGTCTAGTCTAATTTTTATTAACAAAATTTTAGTAGATATTCAATATATACTCTAAATTTTATTTCTCACATGTAAATGCCAATGATTCACTTACCAATAAATTTTCAAGAATTTGTTAAAATCCACTTATTATATCACATTAGATACTTGTATTTAGAAAGGCTAATTGCGGTTCTGTTTGATATTTTCCTCTTTGTTTCATATTAAAATGTTGAAATATGTAAACCCAAAGCATTGATAATAACATTACAAATATTATTATTAACACACTGAAAAGAAAATATATAATACGCATCCTCTCTGTCATTTTTTGCTAGTTGATAAAAATTGGAAATTCGAAGTAACGATACTAATAATCCTGGCACTATTAACAATACGTCATTAATAATGTGGGCGTAGTTTATTATTACAATTTATAACTACGGTGAACAAATGTTGAAGAATTTTAAGAAGCAAATATAACCTGTCTCAATGCTCAGATATTAACTGAATTTAAAATTTTGAATCTTTATAATATTTCAAATATAATATTCTAAATATAAACAAATGGTATTTGTTTATATTTGTTAATTTTATATTTTGAAATAGCAAATAAATAAATATTGAGAATACTAATTTGGCTAGTAAAGAAAATACTAGAAAATAAATTAATAAACGCGTTCGCCGTCGCGTCGCTAGGCACGCATGGAATTGTTGATTACAAGCGGCATTGGCTACGCTTTCTTTTGCGTACGATACGTGCACTTAGCGTGCCTGGTGACGGCGAA